GAGGGTGTACATTCCAACCAAGTTGTGCCGACTTGAATTTGTTTTCCACATTCAATGCCACATTCACTGCCTCTTCAAAAGATGACGGATGCACACGAAAGACTTCTATTCTGGCCACATAAGTGCGGAGGCCTTCTATAAAGACGTTCACGGTGACCGCCTCGGACAGAGAATTGGCTGCCATACCGTCAATGAGAGAAGGCAATTCTTGGACCAAGTCCGCCAATTTCTTCTTGCCCTGTCGCACGGCAAGGAAACACAATCACACACGATATGCCTGATTAGGCGGCGAGTACACACGTGACAGCCGCAGCTTTGGCTCCATCCGGTAGGAAAATGCCGCATCAACCGAAGTGCCATATGTCAGTGCCCATTCTCGCGCTCGACCACCGAGCTTGGAGATAGCTGGCGCCACGCGCTGTTACTCGGTCTGGAACATGGCAAATGCCATAGCCATCTTGGCCTCTCTCACCAAGAGCATGAGATTCTCTCCATCCTTCCCTCGAAGGTCTTAACACTCACTTTGAGAGGCTTGGGTCGGAAGGAGTCATCCGTCGTCGAAGATTGCGTCATGCACACAGTCGACGACGATATCTCTTGCTGTCGGCGCTCTATCAGAGCATTTCATAACTCAAAAACTCCCCTTGGCGCGCGTCGATCGCTTCAGGTCCTTGTAAAGCGAAGTGTACCATGTCTTCAGTGCCAAGCAGAGACATCAGCTTTTTAAGCCCGTCCAGCATGCCCTGGAGCAAATAAGAGAACTGCTCCATCTTCACAGAGGGTCAGTCGTAACGACTCAGGTATGAATTGACTTTAAGTGCTGCCAGGTACAGCATATCGCGTCATCGACACTCGGCCAGTCACCTCGAACAGCCGCTGGCTCATCAGCGAGAGGAGCTTCTCCACCATCGTCAAATGCAATTCCAAGTCGGACGAAGGCTGTGGAACAGCCACAGAGAAATCAGAGGGGCGCCCACTCCGGGTGTCTTTTCCTCTTCTTGATCGACATGAAAATCAAAATTACCACGTCGAGTGCGTGGTGGCGGGAAAGGATCTTTTGTTAAATGGCTGAGGTATCCAGCAAACGAGAACACGTGGGAGTCTCGTACTCGTACTCTTCGCGACTATCCCAGTATCGGTTGCGCGTTCGATGCGGGTCCAAAAACGGACTTCGCTTAGGGAAGCTGTTCTGTCCCTGTTGTCGCGAATCCGAATGATGACTGAATGTACTTCACGAGTATTCTTGATATCGAAGTGGACCCAATCTGCGCAGTCAAATGCGCAAATCAAAAGCGCATATCGTGTTACATCAACAAGTCTATATCGGCGTTCGCGCTTTGCAAACGGTGGGCATCAACGGAATTGGTTGCATGGACTCTTGCCCAAAATTGAGTGTCGACTGTACGGATGGAATCCTGATTGAATTGCTGGACAACGGTACATACGTGGGACTTTGTGGCTCACCTCCAGTTCGAGTGATCGATCTGAAAACGCGAAAAAACGTTATCAGTCGAGCGCCCAGTTTTTCAAAGAGTCCGTTGTACTCTAAGGTGGAACCACCGCATCTATTTTAAAAGTCATCTTGACGATCAAGTTCACGATAGCACAAATGCGCTGAATAACGTGGCATTGGAACATCATCCAGATTCGATGGTGACGAAGATATCATATGGAGCAAGCGTGTGGGTTGTCACTCGAGAGAGAGTTGTACAGATGGTGACGAAGAGTTTTTTTATTGAATTCGGGTAAACGCACTTTTGAGTGGGGGTGGTGTGAAGGGCTAGGTCCCAATACACATGCTTTGTGAGCCACATACTTTGTATGTCTATCATTTACTGGTCGAATATCCCCTTTCAGTTCTGTTGTATCAGAACTGGAAGCACTCAGGTTAGGGAGGTTAATAAGCCTATTGACCATAATAGTAAATGCCACCTTACCTCTTAATGTAATTTACTGGCCTGCTAGAAGCGATACTCGCGGTGAGGCGTGTCAGTTAACCTGAGCCTTCCTCAGAAATAGTGTGTACACGGCCTTTACAGCTATGTACGCATATATCGCCGAATCGTCTTGTATAAACACTATGGAGCCTCGCAGCTACACCACCGATCGATTGAAGTTGCTCGCTGGTGTGTTCGACATTCCCTAGGGCATAATTAGCTACATCCCAAGCATTTTGCTCGAAATTATTACTGCAGTGAGAGAGGTGCCACTCACTTATAAACAACAAGAGTGCTGAACTCAGTGCTAACTGACCATTCTGTTCCGCAGCCGTTTTCATTAAGAAATCGGCGTTGTTTTGGGAGAGTGGATGTTTTTGACAACCATTTGGCAGTTGTCATTGCCTTTCCGATATAGCAATCCAGAACCGAGTGAGAATATATACTTTCTAACACGAAAGCAGCTCTCGTAAATTGCACAGAAGATAGCATCTGGGATGTCACACCATTCCCTTGGTAAGCATCACTGCCATGTGGTGCAGTAAGAGGGAGCCAAATACTCCAAAAAACAGGTCTATCTCACGACGCACTTTCAATCCGGAGAAATAACACGCGTGTTAAGTCTCCCGTCACCACGTCGTGTAGGCTGATTCGTGATGGATTGCGAGCTTTGCATTCATTTGGTAGAGTTTGCACTTACTCAGTGATTACATCGACTTGATATTTCTTGCACACATCCTGTAAGATAAATCTCAAGTTCAATGAGAGCGCCTGCTGGACTAATGAGGGAGGACGAATAACCATTCAGACTACCCAGGTACTTCATTCGCCTGTGAGATAGTATTGAATGATACAAACTCGGTATGCCCACAGCTCCACGCGATGGGCGCGCTACACTAATAGTGCTACTCAGCATTATCAGCATATCGTTACAACAATAGGCCATATCTTTTTAGAACATTCAGGGCCTGATCCATCTACTTGCAGCTTACAGTAGCCCGTCCTCACTAGCTCTGGCACAATAGACTGCGGCACAATACCGCTCTTTATCGTCTCCATTGGATATAGCGCAGAGTCTAAGTTTCCGCTGGAATCCAAATTCAGGCCAGAG